CCAGCCCGAAGACGACGAAAGGGGCGCGATGGTCTCCATCTTAGACGTGGCTCATGTCGGCATCATGGACCTCCGGGGGGACGCCCTCGAGTTCCTGAAGGCCGCCAGCCGCGTCGTCCAACAGCATTACGTGGAACGCTCCTACAAAATGTTCATTCTCAACGCCCCCGCTTGGTTCAGCGTCCTCTGGAAGGTACGGGCGTGTGGGAGGGCATGCGTGCGCGATGTCATCCTCCGTTTGGTCGAATATGGAGCGCGTGCTAGTGCATGTCTCCCCCCCCTCCTCGTGTCTCTGGCAGAGTGGGAAGTTGGCCGAGATGTAACTTTTGGGAGCGGGAGCCAAACAGGGAAACTGCAACGAGTGGGAACGAGGCATGCAAATGCGAAATGTCTCGAGTGACTCAAATCATGTGCTCCACCATGCGCTCCCCCCAGGTCATCGCGCCGCTCTTGCATGAGAATACCCGGAGGAAGATCAACATCTTGGGGAAGGACCACGCACCGGTTTTGGAGGTGATCGCTCCGCACCATCTACCTGTGGCCTACGGGGGAAACGATCCTCTGGCTCTGGGCGAGGCCCCGGAGGAAGTGGATTTTCGTGCCTATGTGCAAAGGGTAAACAGCGGGTTGGAGGGGAGGGCGGAGGCGGAGGAAGTGGGGGTAGGAGGGGAGAAAGCAGGGTCATTGCCAACTGGGTCAAGCGGAACCGGGAACAGGGAAAGAAAGGTAGGAGGGCGCCGTGCAGAAGTAGACGACGGCGGAGAACCGGAAAGGGGGGGCGACGAGCTTGGTCCTGGGGTGTGGAGAGAGGGCTTGCTGGGCGTGGGAGAGCGGGCGATGGCCAGGGTTGCAGGCGGACTCCAGGCCTTGCGCCCGGCGTTTTTAACCCCTCTAAGTACCGCACAACGGGCAAATTTGGGGCGGGAGAATCGCTTTGTCTACGACGAGCACAGGCGGCAGTGGGTTTTGATTGAAGAGGAGGAGGAGGAGGAGGAGGAGGAGAGGTGGGAGAGAGAGCATAGGCCCCACGGGAGGGGAAGAGGGGCGGAGGACATGGAGGAAGAAAGGCTGGTACGCGCAATCCAAGCGGCGCATGAGATGGGAGGGAGGAGCAGCAGTATAAGCGGACGACTTGCTGCGGTCCTGAGGGGGGAGGAGGGAGGGAGGAAGGGCGAGGAAGCAGAAGCGACAGCAGCAGCGGCAGCGCAAGCCCGAACGGTGGAGGACCTCGAGGGCGAGAGGCAGGGCGGGGAAAGCGAAGGAGGGAGGGAGGCGGGGAGGAAAGAACGAGGACGCGTGGAGAGCCCAGGAGAGGAAAAAAATCGCACATGGCCGGGCTCAGTTTTCCTCGTCCTGTTGGTGGCTTGGAGGGCGATGGCCCTCTCCCTCCTCTGGGTCGTCCCCCTCTGGTTGCTCGACACCTGGGACACGGCGGCCCATGAGGTTGCCTTGCTCTTCTTTCTGGGAGCGATGGTCGCGGTCGGCCTGTGGGCGGTGCACGCGACCTGCCCGCTTGTCTCGGTCTACGCCGCTTGCATCGCCACGCTCGTCGGTTTGAGTCTGGCCTCTCTCCTTCTGGGACCCCTGGGGGGGAGCAGCGACGGCAGTGGCCGGTGGGTGGGCTTGTCGGGGGAGGGACGAGAAACAGCAGGGGAGGCGTTGAGTGTGATCATGGCTGCACTTTCCCTTTTGACCACGGCGGGTTCCTTCTCTTGGGCCGTGCACGTCTCTCGCGCGCTCTTTGACAAGGAAGCCTCCGAGGCCCGTCGTGATTTAATCCCTTCCCTGCTGCTGGCCGACGCCGTGGGCGTCATCCTCGGTCCCGTCATCTTCTCCACCGCGCGTGCGTCCGAACAGGAGACAAGCCACCCGCTTGGTGGGAGGGCCATGTGGTTCAGCATTGTGGGTTTCGCGGGACTGGCCAGTGTGGGCATGATCGTCTGGCCAGCGCGCCCTCTCCTGGCGCCACTGACCTCCACGGGAGGGAGGTAGCGGTAGCGGGGAGAGGGAAGGAAGGTGGGATATCGAGTACGAGGCAGACCCCGAGGGAGCGACGTGCAAGTTTATCCCGAAATGGACAGCGCTTGCGTGGGCATGATAACACCCACTAGAGCTTTGTGTCCGGGTCAGGCGACCGGTGGGGAGGAGGAGGCTTTGATCAGAGAAAGCGCCGGGCTTGGTGCTGAAGTTTGGGTGGATGTGTGACGGTGTAACGTCAGCTTGAACGAGATGGGTTCTGAGGCGGATGGGTGGGAGAGGCCTTTAGAGCTGCCTTTTAACAGGGGAAAAGGAGAAAATTTTGTGCAGGTGTA